ACGACCCGACAAAGGAGTACCGCGTCGCGCGCGGGTCCAAGTACCTGAAGCCCGCGGATTACGGCACCGCGCTGGCACACTACGAGGCCTGGAGGCATGCCTACAGGAGCAAGCACCGCTGGAACGTCATTATGGAGGTGGGCGTCACATTTGCGTTGACGTTTGCCTGAAGAAGACCGCCACCACCCCAACTAGCAAACACACACACACACACACACACACACACACAGAGCACCCCAATCGTGTTGTCTGCTTCTCTCCACCACAACTGCACCGTTCGGTTTTAAAATCTTCACTGCATACGCGCCATCGATAGTCACGCATTGCGACCCCTGCCTTGGTGTAACACATGCGCCACGCTGCATCTGTCCAACACGTCTCACAACGAGGCAGGATGATGCAGAACTGCTGCCAAATGTCAGTCTGACGGGCCCTTGGCCAAAGGTGCCCAAGGACGCGGACTTAGTCCTCCTTCGAAAAAGCTCTATGTTTGAGACATCCCCCATCTGCAAAGACACGTCCGTTCTGGTGAGTCACCCTTGTTGTGGTGTCTCAATGAATTGTTGTAGCACCTGCATGTGTTTGTAGCTGCCTGCAACTGTGTTCTTCAGTGAATATGATGTGTGTGCGTGTGTGATTGTGCGTGTGTGTGTGTGTGCGTGTGTGTGCATGTGCGTGTGTGTGTTGTGCCGACATTCTCTCGTCCCCTGTGTCATACGCACACCCACACACACACACACACACACACACACACACACACACACACACACACACACACACACACACACACACACACACACACACACACACACACACACGCTCTTTCCTTGCCTGCCTGCCCTTCATTTTACAGAAAGCGGACTGGGGTTTTGGCATGGTGGCCTATCTCGTGAGTCGTGCTGGTGCTGGGCGCATGATTCGCGAGGCAGAGCGTGTTGGCTTCAGGAGCCCCATCGACGGCCACATCTGGTACCACAGTCGCGTGTACGTCACGGGCGAAGACTGGATCACCCATCCGCCCTGCGCCAGCCCTTGCCCCACCTCCATCCGCACGTATCTCAACGGGGAAATCGAGCATGAGCCAGACTAGGGGCAGCATCACATTGCATGGACTTCTCTCCCCCTGTTTCTCCCTCTGTGTGTTTCTCTACTGCTGTTGTTTCCCGGTTCAGTTGGCTGACTGTGTCGTGATGTGTGTCCCACGCATGATAACGACAATTCTGAATGAAAGCAGGCACATGCACTGTTCACTTGCCCCACAAAAACACCCTGTCTGTCACCTTCATTCTGTACTCAGCACCAAGACACAACAGCAGCGCACACCAAAACTGAGAGAACGCTGGCAAAGCAAACCCATCAGCGCACAATGGAACAGGCAAGCATGCAACAAGCACACACACACACACACACACACACACACACACACACACACACACGAGAACAGCGGAGAGGAACAAGACAGAGGGCCAAGGGGAGGGGTGCACGCGCTACTAGACGGTGTAGACGCAGATGGCGTTGTCTGCACCGGCTGAGAGGAGGGTGCCGGGGTCACCAGCAGTCCAAGCAAGCGCGTTGATGTTGGACGAGTGGTCCTGATGGGTGGCCACCGTCTCCCACTTGGACACATTCACTATCCTCAAATCGCTGCCGCCAATCGCAAGGAAGCGGCCCGTGTCATCAAAGCACAGCGCATTCACCTGCAAGTCATCATACAAACACGCACACACACACACGCACATGCGCAACGTCATGATGAGCGGAGCAGGTGAAAACGAGCACACGCCATGAAGAAAAAGAACAAAACACACCGACAGCAACGTGCAACAGCAACGTGCCACTCCCACCGCCATCCATTCCTCACACAGCACAAAGCACCCATCACTTCGTGCCCATTGTACTGCCCAGGTTGCGTTTGCATTACCTTGGTGCCGGCGTCGAGCTCGAGGGTGTTGAGGCACTCGAGAGTGCGCAGGTTCCACAGCTTCACAACGCCGTCGCTCGAGGCAGAGGCAAGGTGCAGGCCAGACTCCGAAAAGGCAATAGCCGTGATGGGCGCAGCGTGGCCCTCAAACGACTGAAGCATCTGGTGCTGGTTGATGTTCCAAACACGCACCGTGCTGCAGGGGCGTAACAGAAGAGAGTGTGAGAGAAGGGGGGGGGGGAGAGGAAAAGCATGAGGAAGCAGAGGAACGAGAGTGAGGGGACGATGGCAAGCAGCAGGAGCACCGTACAGCAGCTGATCCGCAAACAAACAAACACGCACACACACCGTACACACACACGCGTGCACACCTACCCCCCCCCCACATACACACACAAACAATGGCAAGGAGACGAACTTCTTCTTTGTGCCAACGGCAAACAGGGTGCCATCGGGGTGCCACTGGGCGCAGGTGATGCCCGACGCAGCCTCCTCGTCCTTGTGTGTCGACAGCGTCTCGCCCGTCAGTACATCTGTAAACGACCAAACGCCCTTGGCATCCGCAGCCAGCACGTAGTCCATGGTCGGGTGCAGGCTCAGAGCCTCCACAGTCGCCTTGTGCGCCTGAAACACCGCACACGGCATTTATGTGCACATGTACACAACACACACACACACACATACACACGCACACGCGCGCAGTTTGTGTTGGGAACAGATGGATAGAGAGCGGGACCATGTGTGAGTGTCACATATATCCACACACGCGCGCGGTGTGTGTGTGTGTGTGTGTGTGTGTGTGTGTGTGTGTGTGTGTGTGTGTGTGTGTGTGTGGATCGGCTTGAGGGTGCTGTTGAGGTGCATGAACGCGTTGGTAAGCCAGCAAGCAAAGAAGCACCCACGCACGCGCGAAAAGCCTGCACACCTTGATAATGTGGCGGGTGTCACCGGCGGTTGTCCAAATGTGCACGGTGTTGTCTGCACTGGCAGTGATGGCAACATCCTGCGTTGGGTGCAGCAGGCACGCTGTCACCTTCTTGCTGTGACCCTGTGTGGTTGCGCAATAATCAATTGCAACACATGCACGGCGAGTCGGGAATAGTGTGAGCAAAACACAACTGTACAGACACAAGCCAACGCGCATCTTCACACAAAAAGCGTTACTCACGAACAGGCATGTGCACAACCCTGACTCCGCTTGTTTGTGTGTGTGTGTGTGTGTGTGTGTGTGTGTGTGTGTGTGTGTGTGTGTGTGTGTGTGTGTGTGCACCTTGTATGTGGTCAGGATTTCCTCGGAGTTGAGGTCGTACACGAGTGCCGTCTTATCCTGGCCGGCGGTGAGCACAATGTTGGGCTGTGTCGGGTGCACGGCAAGGTCGTTGATGGCCTTGCTGCGGGAGCTGTGCATGCCGCTGTGCGTCTTCTGGCACGTGTACTTGTTCACATTCTCCTCTGCAGGAAAGTCGGCAGCCTTGAACCGCTTCTTGCGTTGCTGTCAGCCAGAAGGACAAAGGTACGTTTAGCGGTGAAAGGGTAGGAAAATTGTGTGTGTGTGTGTATGTGTGTGTGTGTGTGTGTGTGTGTGTGTGTGTGTGTGTGTGAAAGTGAGGTGGGTAGAGGTGGCACGTGGTAAACCTTGCTGAGCTTTTTGTGGGTTGCCTTGATGCTGGCCACAACCTCCGCGGGCAGGGGTCCTGGCATACGCACACGCACGCACACACAAACAAAAATGAGAATTGGAATTGACAACATAACCAACCAGCAGCGTAAACAAGAACAACAGCAACAACAAGAACAACAACGTGTGGCGCGCACACCTTCTTGCTCCTCGGCTGCAGCGGGGGCCTCGGCAGGGGCGGCCGCCTGCTGCGCCATCTGCGGCGCCTGCTGCTCAAGCGCAACCAGCGCCTGTGTATCGCACACACATGCACACAAGCACAGAGAGGAGCATATGTGAGCGTGTGAGAATGAGTGTGCGTGAGTGCGTGTGGGTGTGTGTTTTAGATGTGGTTGTGCTGCAAGAAGACACGCCACAAACAACTCAAACGCTGACTTGGGGAGCATATGCCGGCGGGTGAGCGGCGACAAGCACACGTAACATGCAGCACACACATACATGCACACAGCGCAGCACATGCACACGCACACGCACATGCACAGCGCAACACAGACCTGGCGGGCCTGGTCGCGTTCGCGGGTGAGACGAGCAATCAAACGGCAAGATGCGTCGTGCTGGTACAGACTGTGTGTCAGCTCTACATGGGAACCAAAACGTGCGTGCGTCGATTGGATAAGAACGAGCATGAGCACATAGCGACCACTTGACACAAACACATGTCAAAGTAAACGACACCCGTCCACCTCCTCCCACGTGCATGGGCATGCAAGGGATGTGGACCTTGGCGAAGTTCCATGACGTGCTTCTTCAGCTCAAAGGACTCCAGCATGACGGCGTCCTAAGGTCGGTGCGCGTGAAGAAGTCGCGGAGTTCACGGAAATGGTGGTGGGGTGAGCTTGAGCGCGTGTGCAAGGCGTGAAAGGCCGCCACAGAACAAAGCGCACACAGGCATGAGCACGTCCATTTGCACAAACACAGAGACCCAAGGCGTCTCGCACCCGCGTACTCGCACACATACACACACGCACACACACAGACACACACACGCACACGCACACACACAGACACACACACACACACAAGAAGCACACACGCAGACAAACATACACCCTGCAAGAACACAAACTAAACAGCAACAATTGCGCTGGAGCTGACCCATTCATCCTGGAACGTCTTGAGCAGAGATGGGATACTGGTTGCGTTTGGTGCACGAGGCTGGACGACATCGCCTCCTGGCGGGGTCACAGCATAGGCGAGGGCAATTGGTGTTGCAGATCAATGGGTGCACGCTTTGACTGTGGGCATGCAGCCTTTTCGGGGCAAGCAGACCGACAAGACACGCATGGACCCGCACGTGCACGCATACACACAGGCAGATACAGGCATCGAAACACAGGCAGATACAGACACACAGACACACGGAAACACAGACGTGCAGATGTACACTCACGCACATATGCATTGACTCCCGTACCTTTGACATCGATCAGCTCGTCGACCTCAAGGGGATCGCCAGAGACGGGGTCTGTCTGGTTGTCGCGGAGATGCTTCTCAATCACACGCCGCTCAAACACGGCGCCAGACTTTGGGGACACCACGGGGTGCTCTGGCACGGCACCAGAAACTGCCATCCCATGAAGCACGTTAGCGTGCGAGCAAAAGTTGGACAGGAGGGCAGGTCAGCAAGGAATCCGCGCATGACAGCAGCAACAACAGCAGCAACAACAGCAACAGCAGCAACAACAGCAACAACAGCAACGCTGGCGCCAGAACTAGCACCAGCACTACTGTCGCCAATGCAGCGAGCACACGACCCCGCCCAAAGATCACTGGTCCACTGCGTAACGTTCGCACGTACTTGCGCAGTTCAGAGACATGGCGGCGGTGTGTTTCTGTCACGGGCCTGTGCTTTCCAAAAACACACAAAGAGAGACAGAGAGCAATCAAGGGGATGAGGAGAACAACCTTAGGGCGCGTGTTGGCGACTCTCAAGGCCCTGTGCCTGCGCGTGTATGTGACTGGGTGGGTGGTGATGGTGGTGCACTTGTGTCGTTCCCCTCTTTTTCCAATCTCCTCCTGTCTCACCAGTCGACTCGAAAGCGGCACTGGCTGTCTCTTGTGCGTTTGCTTTGTGCGGGCAGAGGATGATGCTATCCACCGCATGCACTTCTCCTCTCCGCCTTGTGCGAAACATACACCACGAGGCGCGAAAAACCGTGCATGGCATCAACAGGATTCGCCGTGCCTTTTTCTCTCGTCCTCTCGCTCGTGTGCCAACAAGACGAAGACCAACCAACCAGGTGGGCAGCTGTGGCGTTGTCGTGAGTGTGTGTGTGTGTGTGCCTGTGTGTGTGTGTCTGTGTGTGTGTCTGTGTGGACGCGACGGATGCTGTTCATGGTCGTAATGCACACCACACCACCGTGTATGCATGCCCACGCATATATTATGCTCACACTCACGCACTCACACACTCACACCCACAATATCTAGTTTGTGAGCCAAGTTAGACAACCCATAACAACAACAATGGTGTACGTTTTCATCTGCAAGAACGAGGGCGGCAAGTGGACTGCCAAGGGCCGTGGCGAGACCGCCGCCGACCTCACCGCCGAGGGCGAGGACTTCTTCGCCGTCGAGAAGGCGCTCAAGCAGGTGCGCCGGGGCTGTTGTGTGTGTCTGTGCATTTGTGTGTGTGTGTGTGTGTGTCTGTGTTTTGTGTGTTTTTTTTTTTTTACGCCCGTGTGTGGGTGTGTTGTGTGTGATTAAAGAGTTGGCGGGGGGGGGGCGCATGAACCGATAGCTCCACAGCTCCTTGTTTGTTGCACTCGCCTGCTCTCACGCTGTGCTGCACGGCTTGCGTCCACACACCTCCTGTTCCTCCCTCTTGCCCTCGTGACTCGTTGCTCGCGCTCACCTTGTCCCTCGTGTCGTTTTCGCCTCGTGCTGCCCCTTTGCCTGCCGCTCCCTCGCTGCGCCTCGCCTCGCTTCACAGACCGTTCTCGAGCACGCCAGCTACTCTGGTGCCGTGCAGATCTCCCACACCATGGTGACCCCAAAGTCCAGCGTCTTTGTGTGCCAGCTTGGTGGCGCCCCTGTTGGCGGCGCTGCCGTTGCCGGCGCCTCTGGCGATGCTGGTGCCCCTGCTGCAGAGGAGGCCGCGCCCGAGCCCGAGGAAGAGGAGGAGTCCGACGACGACATGGATGGCTTCTCCCTCTTCGACTAAGCCAGCAACACCTGCCGCCCCCTGCGGCGTCGGTGCAGTCTGTGTTGAAGTCGTCGTGGTAACGAACCCTTTGTGCCCTCGCTCCTTGCCTGTTGTCTTCTTGCCTTCCCGTCAATGCCGTCGTCGGTGTCGTCATCGCTGTCGTTGTGTTTGGTTGTGTGCATTCATAATTCAACTCCTCGTTGCAGTCACACGCTGGCCTATAGTTGACTCATCCGTTCTGTTGCTTTGCAGAACGTGGTGTGAACGCGGTGTGTTGCGCTTGCGCTTTGTTTCGACTTTGCTTTTGTCGAGTGCAGGTGCAGCTCATTGCGAAACGGCCCGCGTGTCCTGCTCTGAGTAATGAACCACCCCTTCGTGTCAGAAGACGACAATAAACCGCGTGTGCTTGAGACTGTACTTGACAAAGCAGCTAGCCCAAGTCCAGATAAGAATTTACTCAGCAACAACGACTGCATGTGTGTGTGTGTGTGTGTGTGAGGCAGGGATGCTTAATGCTACAGTTACGAGCGCTTCTCTGTCTTGAGTTTTGGGGGTCGCAAGCCGCCGGTAAAGCCTTTGGTTTTCTTCTTCTTCTTCTTGGTCTTCTTCTTCGCCTCTGCAAACTTCATCCACGACGTCACACGCTCCTCCCGCCCAGCCTGATGCGTATGTGCGTACGTGTGTGTTGTTTGGGTGTGTGTGTGTGTGTGTGTGTGTGTGTGTGTGTGTTGTTGTTGTTGTTGTTGTTGTTGTTTGTGTGTGTGTGTGTGTGTGTGTGTGTGTTGTTGTTGTTGTTGTTGTTGTTGTTTGTGTGTGTGTGTGTGTGTGTGTGTGTGTGTGTGTGTGTGTGTGTGTGTTTGAGAATGAGTGAGCAGGGGAGAGTATTCGCAATGGCAGTGCATGACAAGGCCCACACCCGTCAATGACTGCATACACGTGTGCACATACGAACGCAAACACTTGTACAAGCAGACGTGCAAGCACAAGCAACACCCGCACACATGCACACGTACCTCCCATTCCTTTCTCGCCTCCTTCTCTGCTTTTGCCTTTGCAATCTCCTCCTCTTTGGCCTGCCGCTCCTTTTGCCTGCAGGCAACGCACCCAGCCGCAGAACACCACGCGTGCGAGATGGAACATGAGGTCATTCAAACATCAAGAACAGCGACAAGCAAGTCAACATCTACATGTACGCAAGGAAGCAAGGTGCATATCAACGGCAGCACCCCATGCGCCACCATCACAACAACAGCTCCACTGCAAACACAGCCGCCAACACTATCGCCTTCACTGCCACCGCAGCGGCCACCACGACAGCCAACAGTGGCACCGCTGCAACCACAACAGCTGAGCGACATACGCTTGCTTGTAGTCGCGGGACAGGATCTTCTGCTTCTCAATCTCCATATCCGCAAACTTCTTCATCAGAAAGCGCCGGAACGACTCCTTGTGCTGCACACATACGCACACACACACACGCACATAAGATAAGACAAAGAGGGTTAGGGGGGAGGGGGAAGATGCCAGCCTTTATGTGAGTGAGTGAGTGAGTGAGCGTGTGTGTGTGTGTGTGTTGCGCAAGAAGACAGACCTGCTCTTCGCTCGTGTCTTCAGGGATTGTTTCTTTCTTCTTTTTTGCTTCCTTGCGCCGCTGCTCCAACTGCACGAAATGAATGGAATTCCATGTTGGCCGTTCAACGCATGTGCATGTGCACCCGTACCGTGAAATGAGATGAGAGGCCTTCACCAAGAACGATAATGCTACACCAACGACTTAAGCATGGACACACGCACACCCGCCAACACACACACACACACACACTCACACACACACACACACTCACGCACTCACTCACACGCTCTCACACACTCACACGCTCCCACTCACTCACACATGCGTTTACAAGAGCTACGTTCAGGCAGATGTGCAGGTGAAACATACCATGTGGGGGAACTCTTCTTCGGCCTCGCGGTAAATGAGATGAACCCAGTCCATCTTCTCCTCATCCTGCAGGGTCTGATATGCGGTGTTGACGACTGCCCAAGCCATAAACGCAGGCACAACATCCAGAAAACATGAGGTGAACAGATGAATGACAACCTCACGTGCCAAATGAGTTTTCACCCATCCGCTTTGAAGAAGGATGCCTGTGGCAGTGATACACATGCACACACCATCGAAGGCGAGTTTTGCTTGGTCCACCTTCTCCGGGTTCTTGTCCGGATGCACTAGAAACGACAGCTGTTCGGGTGAGTGAGTAAGTGAGTGAGTGCGTGAGTGTGTGTGTGTGAGTGAGTGAGTGCGTACGTTTGTGTTTGTGTGTGTGTGTGCGAACGAGAGAGAGGGTGTGTGTGTGTGTCAGTGAGTGAGCGAATGAGTTTAGGACTGTAGATGGGCATATGGGCATATGGAGGCGCAAAAAGAGCAGCCATGACACCACCGCAAATGCGTCCAAAAACCAAGCAGCATGCCTCAATCTCCATCCTACCTTTCGAAACTGCCGTTTGATCTTCTTCTCGTCATCATCAGGGCTGACTTGCAACACCTACGAAAGGAGACAACATGTTCAACCCAGTGAGCGAGTGAGCAACACGGCCTTTGCAGAGGAGGAACTAAAGCACCCATGCACATACAAGAACAACGTTTAAGGAGCACGCACACGCACACGCACACGCACACGCACACGCACACGCACACGCACACGCACACGCACACGCACACGCACACGCACACGCACACGCACACACACACATCAACACTCACACACACATACACCCACACATCAACACTCACACACGCACCTCGTAAGGGTTGAGATTTCTGTACTTGGCGCCTGGCCTCAGCAAGCGATCAATCTGCTTATCGCTTGTCCACACACTATCCTCTTCCTTCACCTTCTCAATCGCCGTCAGGAAGGACGACAGCTTCTTCTTCTCCTCACTCATGACAAAGGCCGAGTGAGCGAGCTGTGTGTGTGTGTGTGTGTGTGTGTGTGTGTGTGTGTGTGTGTGTGTGTGTGTGTGTGTGTGTGTGTGTGTGTGTGTGTGTGTGTGTGTGTGTGTGTGTGTGTGTGTGTGTGTGTGTGTGTGATGACCAAAAGTGTCCTACAAAACAACCAATAAATGTCAGGTAGACGACTCTTGAGGAAGAAATAAAAAAAGGGTAGGGGATGTGTCAGGAGTGAGGGGATAAAAAAGAAGGGGATACGCGAAGAACCGCAATGAAAGCGGCAGGCACAAAACAAGCAACAAAAC